GATTATTGCATTTTCAGAGCACAAACCATGGTTAAACCTGCTACTGGCATTAGAATTCAAATCCATACATTAAGTAAATGTTTAGGTACAGATTGCACAAATCTGTTGCTGCGAACATTTTGGAGGAGTGAATATATCAGTGCAATGCCAAGTATCATGGCAGGTTTATGCTCTGAACCACACAGAAATATTGAGGAAGCATTTTTAAAAAACAACTTAGATCATTTTTAGAATTACTGCTTTTTGTTCTAATTTTCCACAACCATTCATCTCACTTGTCCACGGCACACTCAACAGGCCTGTATGATGTGTTAGGTATTCATTTCCAGAGCTCAATATGATACATATGTCCGTGCAGGTTAGAAAAAAAAGCATATTCTTTGTGCCTTATATTTTGGGGGAAATCTATAAAACTGGTAATATTGTATATGATGAAATCCCTAATAAGGAAAAACAAGATATATAGATGGAAAATTAATGGGGTTTAATTTTATTTTTTGTTCCAACTCTTTTTCAAATTTTTGAAATGCATATAGGACTATGTTGAAATGTAGATATAGCCACAGAGACTGTATATTACATAAATAAACAACAAAAAAAGATGGCTCTAGAAAATTCATATTTCAGTACTTGACCGTTATTGTGATTGGCTTATTTTTTTGTACCACAATGCAACTGATGTGGCAAACTGCCAGTCTAAGTCAAGTTTCACACAGCTTACACAATACTGTATGAATGCATGAAAAAAGAAAAAAATTAAAAGGTCAGGGCTAGGGATCTTACTGAACTATGAACTGTGTTTCTGTTGGGTCCAGTTCTCTACAGAAGGAGCATCCACACATACAAACATTGTTTTGCTCTCCCTCTAGTTCACTTCCGTAGTAGATAAGCAGCTGGCCATTTAGATGTCTGTCAGTCTTTTACTTCTGCATTTATTGTAGGAAACTTTGATATATTTCATTTTACTAAGCTATTGTAACATAATTTTGACTTGGAAAATTAAAAGTTTATTTAGCTAACTGTATATACTTCCACCAAACAACCAGAACAGATTGTTTTTATTGCATTATATATATGTAGTAAAGAAAGAAAAAGCTAAAATATCTAATTCTTTAATTGCCACTTATCCAATTGATGTATTATTGTGCATGCAATATTTTTGAAGATCAACACAGCTGAAAGCTGAAAACTAAAAAATTATGGATTTTTTTTTTTGGTATAGGTATTTTCAAACTAGCTTCTTACATGTGACTTTATTCTTCTGTAGTTTGTAGATTTGAGAAACATTAACACATTTGGTTTTTAGGTGATCTTTTTTGCTTACAAAAAATATCTTCATTGGTTAGTGTGGGTTTTTTGTTTGTTTGTTTGGTGGGGGGAGTTGTACCGGGGATTGAACTCGGGTCCTTCAGCTCACAAGGCAGGCAGTGGAACCACTGAGCTAAATCCCCAGCCCTCATGAGTCAGTGTGTAACTGTTCAAGCTTTACCTCTTGATAAGAAATTGCTTATGTGAAGGCAGCATTATAAACCTTCCCCACAGGTCTTTCCAGTCTGTTTTACTCTCAAATCTCACATTTTAAACTCTCAGAAAACTTAAGAAAAAAGCAAACGTAACTAGCAAAAGCCAAAAATGAACCAAACATTCCAGATATAGCTGCTGGGAAAATATCTATTTCTCATTACCCACTGTAAATTTATTCTTTACTCATTCTCTGTCTATATAGTATGTTTCCCTTACTTTCTTCCTCTTCCCCTTAAGCTATAGCACGTGAAGCTGCAGCACTTACGATTGGATTCCAGAACACACAGAAACAGCCCAGCATTGTTGCTTATTTGCCTCTTTGACATCAGGAAACATCAGAAACTTAAAAGGCTTGTTTGCCTTACACCTTCACTGACCTGTGACGCGCAAGGTTTTCCTGTGTGTTTGGTGGCAACGTGCCTGGTAGTACATTCACGCGAGCAGACAAGAAGCTCAAACCTAGCATTAATAGAGTGCAAGTTTCCCCTTTCGAGTTTTTCCTTTTTAGGTGGGAGAAGGCAAAGCATAGGTTTGCGCCTGGCATGCACATGAAATCTTGATATCATACGGTAAATTGAAGTGTTCTGAAATACGGCAGTTTTGCAGTTAGATGAAAACTGCTTTGTGATAGAGATTGAGCTGACAAGGTTTATAAAATTGCCCCTTTCTAGCTGCTTTGTTAGGAATTCTGGTTTTTGATACTTTTTTCCAGTCTGCAAACCAAAACTTGATTTTTTTTGGTCTTGCATTTCAAAAAAAAGCCTTTAAATCTGTTTGGTAGATTCCATACCCTTGCATTTCAGTGTTTTATACGTACTACTTAAGTTCCAATAGTTAAAGGCTTTTAAATAGCTGAGCGTCTTAACATTGACACTTTACTTTGTACATATATAAAGCACTTTGTTAAAAAGTGCATTTTATATGATTCCTGCCATTTGTTGCTAAATCTGGGCTGGTCAGAATGCTGCAGTGATAAAAGCCTGGCAGTAAAATGTAGAGTAAAAGTTAAATCATCTTGGTGTTTTGACTTTATCACAAAGACCACATAGGCAAGCTGTGCCGCTTTACATTTTAACCAGGGCAACCTGGCATTTAAAACAGTCTAGAAATGGTTGTACTTTAATGCCAGTAATAATCTGCTTCCTCTGTTGTCATTGAAATGCATATGTTCAGTGTATCACCTAACAATATTATAAGGTAATCGACAGACCCCAACAGTTGTACACATTCTGTTTGTGAAAATTGTGGCATGTATTTTTGGTCAAAGATCATTAGAGAAGAGCTCTCCAAAGTTTCCTGTGTTCATTCATGGTATGCAGATAGCTCATAATGAAGTCCAGAATCTTAAGTGAAGGCATTGTGAATTCACCTCAAGATAAACCCACTGTTCCAAAAGCAATGACAAATTTTGACTCTACCACTATGATTTTATGAGGAGAAAAAAAAAAAAGACTTTCTTTCTAGTTTGAGACACACTGAATTCTTTATAGAGTTTATCTCCCTATGAAAGCATGCTGTCCAATTGCTCTTAAGATCTTCCCTGAGTGTTTTGTTTTGTTTTGAGACAGGGTCTCACTATGTAGTTGAGACTGCCTTGGAACTCACTATGTAGCCCAGGCTGGTCTCGAACTCACAGCAATCCTCCTGCCTCAGCCTCTTTCCTGAGTTTTTAATTGGGTTCCACACTTCTTTTCAGCCAATGTGGTTGCTGGTTCTACTGTACCATGTATGATTCTTGTCCTTTGCTATATCCTTCATGACAAATTATGATGTGGCTTTATATTGTGCCTTACTTGTACACTGAAAACTAAATGTCTTCGTTCCCTTCCGTTTCCTGAATGTTTAACTGATCTTTTTGGTAAGAGAATCAGAACTATTACAGAAGCATCATGAAGGATTTCCGATGGGTATGGATTAATATTCCCTCTCTATATAGGTATTTTATATTTGTATGAAAGACCAGTTTTGAATGGTCTTTGGATATGAGGGGGAAAAGATGAGCAGTAATTCCTCTACATAAATCCCTTTTGGTTTCATGAATTTGTCATACATCTTCTTTCTGATGCTTGATCTTATTTGTTTTCTAGCAATAGTCTGCATTGAGAGAAAGGAGTGTTCAGTTAATCTGTTTGAAATTGACTTACTTCGTTTCCCAGAACTTTTTAGAGTGTAGTACCCATTTTGTTTGTTTTATACAACAGATGACAAGTCTCTTTAAAAGAAAGAGAAGTTAGTTATTTTGAAATACAATGCTGTTATTTTGGATTTCTTTTATTATATATAATATTCATACAATTATCTGATGTTTGCCTTCATTAATAAAGCTGTTAGTTTATTCACCAAAAAAGTATAAATTCATGTAAAAATACAACTCCATGCCACGCTTTATTTGATTATATGATCTTATCAAACCATATTACCAAAAGCTCAGTTGCTATCATGAGTTTAAATTTTGCTGATTTTTTTCCCCACAGTATTGGGGAGTGAATCCTGGGCCTTTTTCTTTTCTTTTCTTTTCTTCTCTTTTCTTTTTTTTGAGAAGGTCCAGCTGAGTCACTAAGTTACCAGACTGGATTTGAACATGTGACTCTCCTGCCTCAGTCTCTGAGGGTGCAGTCCGTGTTCTTCATGGAGGCTTAACTCACGTAGGAAGTGTTCAAGCTTCCAGGATCCAGATCCAAGATAGATGGTGCCCTGAAATTCAGAGTCCAGCTTCTTTAATCACGTCTACAACCGGAGTGCTGGAACTGAGAGGGAACTCAGCCACTCCTGGGTTTGCCCTCCAGGGTAAGGGCAGAGTGCATTCCAAGGGAACAGGGTGGGTAAGAAGAGAAGAGCTGCCATCCTTCCCCCGAGGCCCCAGTTCCCACCCTAGGCGGTTCAGCTGCATCCCAATCCTGCCTGTTAATGCTTCAGGAAAACCACAGGCTTGAGTCCCTTCCATCTCCTGGTGGTTCAGGTGCCTTGGCTGCAGGCCTAGGCCCCCAGCCTGTTCCATTCCACCAGGCAGGTGAACACCTGGTTTCTGTCACTTGATGCTCTGACTCTTTCTGCAGGAATTCCTGACCTCTGTGTCCAGGAGCTGAATGGCTAGAATGGACCTCCAGCCCTGAGACGCTAGTCACCAACAGTGCCCAAACAACATGGAGCCCTGTGCCCTCCCTTCTGGACCCTCTGAAACATCAGAATGTGGGGCAGGGACTTGGGGTCTGATAGAACCCTCACAGTGCCAAGGTGCATGTGTTCCTGAGCTTCAGGTTTTCATCTATAAAACGGGGATCGCAACGTACCTACTTTAATGGGTCTTCGAAAAGATTAAAGAAAAGCACGTCAGCCCTGCATGGTGGCACAAGCCTGTAATCCCAGCACTCTGAGAAGCTGAGGCAGGAGGATCACAAGTTTAGTCCCAGTTTGGACGACTTAGCAAGAATCTGTTTCCAAAAAAAAAAAAAAAAAAAAAAAAAAAAAAATGGGTTGAAGATGTAACTTGGTGCAAAGGTCCTGGATTCTGTTTCCAAGAAGAAAGAGAAAAGAGGAGAGTAGGGAGGGAGAATACGTCAGAGGGCCTGGCTCTGGCCCCAGGTCTCCATGCGGCTGTCTCTTGTGTGATGTCATGGCCCTGGGCTCCCTCGAAGGTCACATCATGGCTGTGTCCTGCTGTATCAGATGCGCGTCTCTGCCAGTGGGGAACAAGGAGATAGGGATGACCGGAAAGCGCAATGGACAACTCACACACACACACACACACACACACACACACACACACACACGACTTTGCATAGCAGAAGCAGGCCTGCAGGAGGCAGGCTGAAAGGCCCAGAAGAGTGTTCACCTCAGGGAACCAGATCTCATGGGGCAACACAAACCATCCAGCGCTTAAAGTCACCCTAGACAACCAAAAGGAACTTCAGGCTGATCCTTTAAGGATTTGCTCTCCCAATAAAATGATGTCTCAAAACAGAAATGAATGTGGATTACAGAAAACTGGGCCTATATTTTTACACACCTTGGATGGAGGATATGGAATCCATCCTGTCCCATTTCCTTAGTCAGCAATTGTCTATGTCCTGCCCTTGAGTCTGAGTTTGGTGGAGATATAAAAGTTGGTCCCTTTATACCCACTGTATATCCCAAGCACCATTCCTGGCCCAGAGTATACACTCAGTAAATATTATCAAAGAAAAAAAGCTTTTTCTGGAGGTACACAGGATTGATCCCAGGAATTTTGCACTGAGCTACATCCCAGCCCCTCTTTTATTTTTATTAGAAAGCGTCTTGATAAGTTGCCAAGTTGCCCAGACTGGGCTCAGATTTGCAATTTTCCTGCTCCAGCCTCCCAGAGTGCTGGGATTACAGGCGTAGGCCAGCACACCTGTTTTCAAAGAAAAAGAAAAGATATAGAAAATAAACAATCAGATGTAAAAAAAACACACAAATGAATAACGAAATAAGTATTTTCTTGGACTGCTGCCCAGGATGGGTGAGCAGCAAAGAGCCTCTATCCACCCCACCCACCACGAGCCCACCTCCCCAGAGAAGGGCTCCTTGTTCTTTGGAACAGGTATCAGCCTTCAGAACAAAAGCCAGACAAACCTGAACGCTAGCCCAGCCCCAGCCCTGGCTCCCAGGAAGTTGGCACTGGGACTGGTCCTGGCCATGGAGCCAGGTGGTGGCTTGGGCTGAGCTGAGCCCTTTGTTTCCAGCATCAAGGTGGGTTGAGCAGAGCCTGCCAGGGCAGGGGCATGCGGCCAGGCCAGGGAATGCATCAGGAGGGCTTCCAGGGTGCTCCCAGGGCTCCTGAGGTTGTGCTAAACTCCAAGTCTGCGAGGATCAGGCTGTGCTGGCCACTGAGACAGAGGCTCCTGCCAAAGACAGGGAACTGGTAGGAGGAGGCCAGATCAGCCCCATCAAACCTCAGAAAGAAGCCAAGAGATCATCAAAGCAGCCAGCACCTGTGGGAGGCTGAGGAGGGCATAAGTGGTTCACCAGCCCTGGGTCCTGAAGCATGTGTCTTCTGCTCGCTCAGCCTCTATGATTTTTTTTCTCATCGATAGTATTTATTATTCACATGAACAGCTTTACAAAAATGGTGTCACTCAATTTTCATAGCACATACTCCTTTACAGCTAATTTTGAATAGCATGTTACATATTTTTTTCCTCATTGAGTTTATTGGTACATTTTAGGTATACAGTACAGTTACTTTCATTATTGGGATCTTGTTCCTTTACATGACAGGTCTTGGTTCTCATTTTTTCCCCTTGTCCCTGCTCTCCCTTCACCCCCTCTTGCCCTCCCCATTTACAAACACTTTATTTCCATTTTCTCATTTTCTCATATTTTTTTATTTTCCCTTATTAGCTTTCCCCTTCCCTTCCCCCTTTCCCTACACCCTTAGCCCCTTTCTTCCTATTTCACATGGTCAATTATCTCATTAGGATCTTGAGTACTATTATGGTTCATTCACACCAGAGAAACTATTTGGTATTTGCACATGTGTGACTTATTTATTTCACTTAGGAGTATATCCTCAATATGTATCCATTTTCCTATGAATGAATCTATTTTCTCATTCTTTATGGATGAGTAATATTCCATTTTATAGAAAACCCACATCTTCTCTATCCAGTCTCCAGTTGATGGGCAAATGGGCTGTTTCCAAGTTTTAGCTATTTCAAACTGTGCCGCTATAAACATAGATGCTCATATATCTCTGTGATGTGATTCTTTTAATTATTTTGGAAAGATACCCAGCAGAGGGATGGCTGGGTCAAATGGAGCCTCCAGTCCCAGCTCTTTGAGGTATCTCCATATTGATTTCCACAGTGGTTGCACCAGTCTGCACTCCCACCAACAGTGGAGAAGGGTTCCTTTCTCCCCACAACCCTGCCAACATTTGTTATTGTGTGATTTCTTGATAGCAGCCATTCTTTGTGGGGTGAGGTGGAATCTCAGTGTTGTTTTCATCTGCATCTCTCAAATGACCAGTGATGTGGAGCATTTTTTCATATATTTACTTGCTGCTTTTACTTCTTTGTCTGAGAAGTGTCTGTTCCTTTCAGATGCCCATTTTTGAATCGTGTCTTTACATATTTTCACCAGCTCATGTTCCACGGGTAGCCTCTGTGTTTTTAGTTGTCATAACCTCAGCCTTTTTTCCCTCATCTGTGACTGGGACTGGGTTTGGCCTGCTCTATACCAGGATCGGCCAATAGGGGGCCCTAGAGGGAGGCTCAGGGCTGGGGCAGAAGACTGGCCTTGGTCTCTGCTGTCTTCTCTCTTTTCTGACTCTTTTGTGCTCCCAGGAGCATAGTGGGGCCACACTTCTTAACCCTGGCAGGGCAGGTCCTTCCCACGCCAGGGAACCTCTGGTCCAAGTTCTTAAGTGAAGTAATTCTGGTCTCTTCCCTTATTTTCCCACCCTTGCGATGCCGTCCATTTCCAGGAGCTATTAAATTTCCTCCACCATGAATGGATTTCCTTCTTGTCTAAGTTACTTAACTGGGAACTTTATATCTAGTTAACATTTTTGTATTCATTTCTCTTTGTATAAACTTTGGGTTTAGTTGTTCTCTTGATGGATCCTGGCTGATCCTTTAGAGCTAATCAAACCTGCTTTGTACTATTTTCTGTAAATGAAATTATATGGCTTTTGTATTGGTGCCTGGCTGTAAGGACCTCTCTGTTCATGACAGTCCTTTTTCTTCCCTCAGGATCACCTTTGTAGTCATAAAGTACCAATTTCTTAAAAATCCAAAATTTGTCTTACTGAAGTTTGAGAACACAGGGGGAAAATAGAACTGCATTTGAATCCCAGCTCTGCTACTTGCTAGCTACATGCATAGGCAACTTGCTTCACCCTCATCTCGGAAGTGAATAACAGCACTTACCTTCAGGAGTGCTGCAAAGGTGCGATGAGGTAACGCATACCTGGTGTCTGGCCTGGAGGAGCCTCCAAACGTGCTGGCTGCTAACCCTTTAATTTGCTTTTGTTTCCATGGACACATCAATCAAATTATATCAATGAATTATGAAAAAAAAGTAAGCATTGGGGTTCTGATAAAATGACTGTGGGGGCCAGGGATTTAGCTCAGTGGTTCCATCACCTGCTTTGCAAGCACAAGGTCTTGAGTTGATCCCCGGTACCAAAAAAAAAAAAAAAAAATGGCTGTGGAGTTTTCCATCTTCCCAAATTACCCTCAAATAAACAGAGCATCTAAGACATCAAAGCTAAAGACCACAGACAGCGTCTGACACAACTAGGCACTAAGGTTTGCCTAAGAATCTCCTAAAGTAAAGGAGTAGAAACAAAACTTCACGACATCCACAACTGTGCCAAAGGAAGTCCTGGGCTTGTGCCGGCTGTGGGGATAGATTAGCCCCAGAGTCACCCCCACAAACTGGCTGGAAAGTAGTAGAGAAATTACCCAATATACGTAAGGCCCTAAGTTCCATCCTCAGTACCCAGTATCACACACACACACACGCACACACCCCTACCGGTGTATGTCTACAAGCTCAGCTACTCAGGAGGATCATGAGTATGAGATCAGCCAAGGCAATGCAGTGATAGCCCCATCTCAAAAATTTTTTAAAAATACTAAAAAGAAAATTTATCACCTTACTATGTAACATAATTATCTCACTATCTAAATAGAGCAGCATAAGGAAGCCTATAGCTATAAAGAAGTTACTAAAAATATTAACAAATCCAGGTGTGGTGGTGACCCTGTAATCCCAGCACTTGGGAAGCTGAGGCAGGAAGACTGCCATGCGTTTGAGACCAGCCTGGGCCGCACAGTGAGACCCTTCCTCAAAAGAAAAAAAGCCTAAAATGGATTGGGACTAATAAGTGAATTAGTAAGATTGTAGAATACACGGTCAATGCACAAAAGTTTCTACATACTATCAATGAGTAATCTGAAACTGAAGTTTTAAAAACAATACCATTTATAATAGCAATGGAAATGAAACATTTAGGGATAGATAGGACAAAAGATACGCAAGACTATACACTGAAAACCACAAACTTTGCTGAAAGAAGTGAAAGATCTGTGTAAGCAGAGAGAGAGTGATTTCATGGTTTGAAGATGTTATGCTAGTTCTCCCCAGTTGGCCTATAGATTCAATGTAATTGTAATCAAATCGCAGGCAGCCTCGGGGTATGTGCAGAACATCACAGGGACCTATCAGGAAAAGAATCAAATATAGCAAAAACAGTTTGGACAGCAAAGAACACTACTGGAAGAATTATGAAAGGACTGGGGAATCAGAAATAAGGAGAGGACATGAACATCAAATACATATTTTTCTGTGGTACTGGGACAAATCGTTGTTACAAGAGTAGGAGCTGGGTGCTGCAGCTATTGCTTGAGAAGAGAGACTGGCGGGTGTGTATGAATTTATGTTGATATATACACTAAGTTAATCATTTCTGTTTTATAGGTATTCACTAGGAATGAAGGGATGTTATCTTAAATTGGGTGCTAGAAAAGACACAATCTCTATACATATACACACACACACACACATATATATATACATTTCTATATTTATGTGTAGCTATATATGACATGTATGGCTGATGATAATTATAAATTCTTAACAACTATCCAAAGAAAGACTTTCAGAATGCCAAAGAGCTTGGGGATCAAACTCGGGATGTTGCACTTGCAAGGCAGGTGGCGGAACCACTAAGCTAAATCCCCGGCCCAATAAAGAATCAGTCCTATAAATAAATGAATAAAGACATACCAGGCAATGGAAATAAAAGCAGAAGTTGTAATCTTCATAACTGTCAAAAGAAAATGCAGAATAAAATATGTTAAAATAGACAATAAAGGCCATCTTCTGCTGTCACAGCCTCAGATTCACAATGAAGATTAGCAGCTATGGATATTGACACACCCACTAACACAGTAACTACGGTACCCACCTTCATTCCCTCCTTAGCGGTGACCAAGTGTTCCAAGACCCCACCCAGCGGAAGTCTGGAACTCCAGGTAGCCCCAAACATACACTATGTTATTTCGAGTTTAATTCAAGCGATCATTCGTAAGAGAAGGCAATGTGAGCACTGAGCAGATATTGGATGACATTGAGATATTAATGTTAATGTTTTTAGGCATGATAATGGTGTTGTGGCTATAATTTAAAGGAACTCTTATCTTCTTCTCGAAATACATACTGAGGGACCATTGAGACAGTAAGTCTGAGATCTGCTTCCTATTAATTTGGGGAGTTGTGGAATTGAGGAAGTAGCAATCACGATGGGTTGTATGTTATTGTTGAAAGAGGGTGATGAGCCAGCTGCTCTCACTTCTTTTGGGTATGTTTGAAGTTGTCCATGAGAAAACATTTAAAAAGTAATAAAAACGTGTCTGGGTGGGGGATCGTGGAATTTCGCAGACACCAGGTGGGCTGGAGGCCCACGTCTTACCATAGAACAGGGCCACAAGAGCAAGTATTGTGCCTAAGCACAGCACTACAACCATGACCCTTTGGTGCTGTCCTCGGATGCATCGTACCAGCCCCTGCTCCAGCAGCCGCCCTTCCACCAAGGGAAGCTTCCCACCTCTGTTTCTGCACCTCTGGTCCGCTGTTCAGCTGCAGGGGCTGGTAAGATTAGATGGACAGTCAGGCCCTCTTAGCATTACCTAGCATCAGTGGAGGCCTTCTTCAACGGTCATCTCACAGATGGCCTGTTGGAATACAGGGCTTTCAGACTATGCCATATCCCCCCTCGGAAGGCATCAACACAGGGCTTCTGGGACTGGATCACTTCCCTCACGAATGCGTTGCTATAAAAGAGCCTGGTGCTTTCCCTGAATCCCTCTTCTAGATGTGCTGCTCACTATTCCTGCACTTGCTCTACAACTGTTATGCCATCCACTTTTAAGCCCTCACAGGTGCCGAGCAGACAGGGACACCTACGTTTTGAACATACAGAGCTGTGAGCTACATATACCTCTTTTCTTTATAAAAGCTCCAGGCCTCAGGTGTTTTCTTATAGCAACAGAAAACAGACTACAACAAAATGGTTCTGTTTTAAATACATGGGTGAGTACATATTGAAGCTTCAATGTTACATTATACACACACACACACACACACACATATATATATATATGTATGTATATATGTGTATA